GATATTGTTTGCGGAATTGTCATGTTGCAATATCTTATGCATATCCCTAATAAATTTCTGATTGACTTTGATCTGCTAAAGTAGGCAATCCTGTTCATTTCTGAACATAAAACAAATAGATGACGGGTTAGGCAGCAAGTTGTTAGTTTAGTTTATGTGCATCATTGTCGAGTGTATGAGGGTGGTTCAAAAGGAAGAGAAGGAAAGAGAGTGAGAAGGTGTTTGCAAATGGTGGTGATATATGTTGGGTGGCAGATGGTTCAGTTGTTCTGAAATTCTGGGCCTCAAAGGATCTTGATCTGGTACTGCTGGGGAGATGCTTTTAATTGTTGGTTCCCCCTTCCATCTTTGGGTACTCTAGAGTGATGAACACTAGGTTTTCCATGATATAGCTTGAAGTTGTGAAAGAGGAGTTACTCCATCTTATCGAGTCATGGGGACAAAATATTTTGTGATGCACAATGTTCTTAAGACTTTTTTGACTACTTATTTTGGTTTGGATTTGGTTCAAGCATTCGTAATTTTATGTATGACAGAAGAAAAGATGTGCATTTTTTTTAAACATAATAGCTTTTGTGCTTGTTTGACAAGACCTCTTTGAATCAATTGGGCATATAAGGATTTATATAGCTGAGCCCACTTAGTAGGACAAGGCTTTGTTTGTACTTGTTCTAAATAAAAAATTATTCATAGATTTCATATACTTGGCACTCAACTTGGTATCTCAGCAGTTTGTTTGGCTTTAATAAACTGGAACTTGATTTTTCTTATATATGTTTGTCAACATAAACTTTATTGTGGCAGCATTCCACGTATATACAGATCTCATGGAATTTTTTGGGGCTGAGGGCCAGGAAAGTTGGATGTCTGTTGAGTGTTGATAGAAATTGGTTTGAATGCAGGGTTACATGCGTTCTTTTGCACCTCACTTCTAAGAAAATCATTTATTGAGCAAAGTACTGAAGAATGGTTCTTTTGTGGCAGTTCTTGTCAGACAAAGATCCCGGTGAAAGTGTCATTCGTCCGAGTTCTCGAGGGCCGTCTTATCTGACATTGACTCTTAAAGTTTATGATGGTGTTTATGCGCACAAGGATATAGTTGAAGGTGGCAAGGAGCACAAAGACATCACAAGTCTGCTTCGCATTGGTAAGACATTGAAAATTGGGGAGGACACCTTCGAGGATTTGGATGAGGTCAGTAATTTTTAGTGTCAATCAACTCACCACATGAAGAATTTCAAAATATTTTGCACGTTGCATGATCCTTTAGAAAAGTGCATCGGTGTGCTTCGCATCAATTAGCTGTTTTTTAGCTAGTCTATTTATTGCATTGTTTATATCAGATTTTTGAGATGCTGAGTTACATTGCTTAATTCTTTGTGTGGGAACTCTTCTTAGAATTATAGAGTGAGAATTTATTGAGCTGATGGGCATCAGGAACTTGTTCTTGCTTCTTAAATGATATAGTCTGAGAAAATTGTTTAACGGTAATTTTCGTGAAATAGGCTTGAGACTGCAGACTGGGTCCATTTATTCAATATCTTCCTCCCTACATGTGTCTATACGCTCACTGCAAATGAATTGCCCGAGCTGCCTGTATATAAATTGGACAGTTCCAAATCATCGTAATACAAATCAACCGACTTCTTTTTTGAGTCAAATTTTTTGTGTTAAAGGCTACTTCCTTTCCTTAGTGAACTTGTGGTTCTTTCTTTACTTGTTTGATTTTGCCTGATAGTGGTTGTTGTTGGTTGTAATTAACCGTGCTTTAGTATTTTATGGTCAATGCATTGTCTTTGCTTTTTTTTGGTAATTCCGGTAGAGATTTTTGCAATTTTCTGTAACTTAAAAATCGATCCTTTGGGTGTATGCTTGCTAACGCTTGCATACGGTGGTTTTTTAGGCTGGGTAGGTTTGGGGGCTGGAAGTGCTTAGTTGAACCATTGCAAATATACTGTGCTTTCCTATAATGACTTAGCAATTTTTCTTGCTAAGCACAGGATGTAGCTATTGTTAAGAACCAGAATCCAGTAAAATTCTTAGTTTAGGAATATCTCTGGTAGGTTGTAATTTGGAATTTACTATTAAGAAGCAAACTTACGAAATTTTCCTAGTTGTTAGCTTGCATTGAGGATTATGTCTTATTAAGGTTGATTTATACAGAAAATGACCATTTTGGAGTTCCAGAACTGACTTATTTCCAAGGGTATTTTTAAGAAAGGGAGATCTTGAAAGCAGGCGGCTAACACGGGACGTAACATTTTAATCTAACTCTGGAAAATATTTCCAGTGCTGTATTGTTTTGAAGATACTCGATATTATTGTTTTTTTCTATTGTGGATTTATTGGCAGAGGCTGATGCTAGTGTACTCGTTTTAAATTTAGGATACTTGTTTTAAATTTATGTGACATCCGTGCTGAAATGGGATCGGATATCCTTTTTAAAATTGAATTGCATATATTGTAGGTTATGGACCGATATGTTGATCCCTTGGTGGGTCATTTAAAGGCAATGCTGAACTATCGAAAGTTTAGGAAGGGCACTAAAGCAGAAGTTGATGAGCTTCTAAAGATTGAGAAAGCAGAGTATCCTATGAGGATAGTTTATTGCTTTGGCATTTCCCATGAACATCCAGGCACATTCATCCTTTCTTATATAAGGAGCACAAATCCCCACCACGAGTACATCGGTCTTTACCCTAAAGGATTTAAGTTCCGGAAAAGGATGTTTGAGGACATTGATCGGCTCGTGGCATATTTTCAGAAGCATATCAACGACCCTCAACATGACTCGACACCATCAATTAGGTCGGTCGCTGCCATGGTGCCTATGCGAAGCCCTGCAACTGGAGGTTCTTCAGGAACATCTGTTGGCAGTGGTTGGGGTGGTTCCACAAATGAAGGCGGCTGGAGGGGCCAGTCTTTTGACAGGGATAGATCTTCAACACCAGGGTCAAGAACAGGTACGGGTGGTCTAGATACCTAATATATAGACTTGCGATGATGCTTTATGTTTCTCCCATTGGAATTTCTGCAGAAGGTTCCCTTGGATTTTTCAGTGCTAACCATTCTGAGGTTAGGAATAGATGGCCTAAGTTCATTGCTTAGCCTAGAATGTATGAGTCGAGACTGGGTTTTGTTCTAAAATAGTAAATGGGTCCGGTTGACAAGTGCCTCGGTGGACTTGTGAATATACTAGACTTGAAAATAATTCAATTTTCAAAGCACTGATTATACATGATACAAGGACTATCAATGCATTTCCTTAGTATCCTGGGGCACTCGTCACCAGAATCCAGTAATTGGGAGTCTCTTCTGGTTTGATTGAATAAGATCCTTAACAGAAGCTCATGATGTTGACCACCTATAACTGAGATTTGGTCTGGCTATTACAATTTTGTTGGAGGGATTGCTAGGGCGTGATGTGGTCTGTTTACATCATGTACTTAATGTCACATTGCGTGTTTCTCTCTTTTTTTGGCCATACGTAATTTACTGTCATGGGCTATTTCCCTTCTGTCATGTTTCTCCCCTGGTAAGGACTGAATGTTTTCTGTTTTTCATTTCTCTTTTGTGTTTTCAGATAGTTGGGAAGTGCTTCCGTGTTTTTAATCCATTCGGATGGCCCAAACTAGTTTTCTTTATTTGAAAATTCATGTCGGATTGAATTTTAACAGGTCGAGACTACAGAAACAGCAGCGGTCGTGATGGGCATCCTAGTGGGCTTCCTAGACCATATGGTGGGCGTGGACGTGGTCGGGGCTCATATAATAATAACAGGGGGACTAACACCCCCGGTAATGACCGACAAGATTCAGGTTACGACGCGCCTCGATGGGATTCCGGTAGCAAGGACGGAGGTGATGGGTGGGGCAGCTTTCCGGGCGCTAAAGTCCAGAATTCGCCGGGCAAGGAATCGTTTCCTGGCGGATGGGGCGCTGGGGGCAGCGGAAGCGGCGGCGGAGGTGACCGCGGTGGTTGGGCAAGTGGGTCCGGAAGTTGGGGCAGCGCCGGCGCTACCGAGGGCGGGACCGACAACGGCGGCGGCGGTTGGGGGGGTAGTAACTCCAAGAAAGCTTCTGATGATGCATGGTCTGGTGGGGGTGGTTGGTGATGTTACGTTGGACGAAAGCTTCCTGGTGTTTTTCATTCTCTCTCCGAGGCTTTTCCCACTGCAAGGAAGAAGAAGATGAAACCCAGATTTTCTTTCTACCGTCTCCTCTTTTCCCCCCCAAATGAGCCGTGTGAATTGGAAGAATGCTGACATTATTCGGGCTAAATATGATTTAGTGTTTTTGTCTTTTGTCGAGCGTCCCCTTCAATTTTTTTTAAATCCTGCCGGAGAAGCAAAGAAGCTGGTAGAAGCAGAAAGAACTTGCCCCTTATTTTCTCAAAAAGAAAGAAAAAATAGAGAAGAAAAGGCTGAGCGTCCGGAATGAGTCTTGAGATTTTAATCCTGAGATGATACGATGAATTATCTGTGCCGATTTTTAGCCCAAATCAAAAAGGAAACTCGTATTGCCGCCACATGTTAGATCGACATATGGCTCTGTTAACCCTCAAACCTTTTTTGTTACAAAAAATTTTGAATTTGTATTTGTGTGACATTTATTCTCATCAAAATTCTGTTAACGAAAATCGTTAAAAATTTACTTATATAAACATCGGAAAGCTCATGTGGCTTAAGTTAAAAAAAAATGACGTCATTTTAACTGAAAAATCATCTAATGAAACATTAATGGAAAGTAAATTTATTACATAAATATAAATTTAAAATTTTGTCACAAAAAGAGTTCAGGAGTTCAGGAATAAATATGTCACAATAAATATAGTTTAAACACAAAAAAAATTCGAAGTTAATGTATCGTAATGAGAACAATTTAAGAATATTTTTTGTAGCTTTTTCCTTTTTCTTTTTTCGTTTGGAGGCAACAATCCCATCGAAGGTTCAGAAAAAATAGATGTTGAAAATTTGGCACGCTGGACTTTTTCCACAAAGCTTTAAGAGCAAAATTATATAGTACAGATTACAGCTAGAAACACCTCGGACAGAATTTTACCAAACGAGTCGGTTTTACAGAAATGGCAGGAGAGAAAGAGGGTATCGGACATAAAACAACACACAATCTCTAAGAGCCAGTTCCATTACAAGCAATTTCTCTTACCATGAATCATTTATCAGAATTGCAAAGCAGTCGGGTGTTGAAGGTGCATTGACTTCAGTCAAACGGCCATCCAGAGTACCCCATCTGGCGGGGGTTATTTTCGCGCACGGTCGGGGTGTTGCTCGGGCTGTTTCCACTATTGTGAGAGCTGGAATTCGACGAACGGAATGGCCACAAGTATGATAAGGGGTTCCTCCTTCCTTGACTCTCCCTCCCGCTGCTGTTGCCATTATTGCTGCTGCTCCGATTCGCAGCAGTTGGGCGACTGCTGCTCGATCCTTGGGGTGGTAGTTCTTGGCGGCAAACAGGGCATGAGTTGTGCTGGACTAGCCACGGGACAATGCAATCTGAATGATAAATATGGTTGCATGGCATTTGCCTAGCTTCTGACCCGAGCTCAAATTTTTCTTTACAAACAGGGCAGTGTGAGTCAGAACGAAGATGCCTCTGCGAGATCTTAATAGTGGGCATGGAATCGATGGAAGACCTTGCTGCAGGAGGAGGGCCCCGATGTTCATTAGCAGAAAGCTGTTCCAACAGTTCTTCTAATCCAGGCCCTATAAAATAGTCACCCCCGTTACCCCTTGTCAATCCAATTCCAGGAACCCCATTAAAAAGGGCCTCGAATCCATTATTTCCAGACAACCTGACAGGAATCTGGCCGCCAAATATCAGTAAAGGACCGACTCCAGAGTTATGCTCAGAGAATAGATCGGATCTGCCCCTGATGTCATGGCCATGGCTTCTATCTGCCATTCGCTGCCCCATCAATGCCGAGAATGCTTCCATCATCCGATACCGTGGGTCACGACCTTCATCGTTGTCAATTGTAAAGAGATCGAGTGAGCTGGTGTGCACCCTGTCATCAAGTTCTTGAATAAATCCTCCATGACAATTGGGGCAGACCGCATCTTGCCCTCGTAATCTTATTGGCCGTCTACAGCTGTAACACCAATGGGTGTTTCTGCTACTTGACATAGTCTCCTCTCCCTGTCCCTCTAATAATCAGCAAAATTTGATCAGAATTTGCCAAGGGAACTCGTAAAACTGCAGTCAAAGCATAATGCTAAAAGGTTTATATTGCAAGAACTCCAAACATCGCACAATCTCCAACCTAATTCCAGAATGTAACACTGATACATGCATAACCACTAAATAACATAAGACAACTTTTCCCACTATCATAGTAAAATAAATTATGCCATCTCAATGCAAACTACTGAATCATTCATTTCCCTCGTATAGAAATGTCTCATTTGAAAGGTGCTCTCACTTATCACCTAAGACAGAGCTAAAACAAAGGGGAAAGCACTAATCACTCGACATAATTCGAGGAATTCTTCAACACAGTATACGTACCACCAGTCAACAGTACTTTTGCAACTAGGGAAACTTTCTCTAAGTTCTGCCCTCTTAAAACAAATGGGTTATAGTACTAGAGAAAAGTTCATCCAAAAGGGGGAAATGCGAAAAGATTTTTGCTAATTTCACCTAATAGGAACAAGGTCCATAAACTGTACTTTGACAGAGAAGCCACAATATTTCTCAATTCAAATAAATACGTCAACTAGTCAGAAGTATTCTGGGCTGCTTCACACTTTTCCAATCAAAATATATAGACTTTAGTGCTTAGCATTATGGCAGCCCAATTAGCAGTTCAATAAAGACGCTCTCTCCTGTCTCCATGTCTATTGTAGCAGAGGTAGAGATGGAAATTAATTAAAGCCCAAGAAAAACAACCGTTTGAATTCAGAAGCGTTACTATCTAATAAGTTCCAGACAAGTTACAGATTCAATCACTCAAACATGCATTTCATCTTCGTTCTATCGCTAATCTTGGATTTGTTCTAATCTAAGAGTCTGGGCAGAAAATCTGAACAACACGACCCAAGAGTCTCAGAGCTTTATTTGTAGGAACATATAAATTTGTTTGGTTGTATTTGAAATTTTAAGCAATGACAAAACTGGGTTGTTTCATCACCATCAGAATCTTGACACATGTCAAATGATTGCTTTGTACCATTCTATCAGGCTATGTAATAAAGACATTCTTATTCGTACTTACCACAAAAAAAAACGAATTATAAAAAGAAGTGTCAACATGCACAATACTGGTTTATTGTTAAGCGATGACAAAACTGAGTTGTTTCATCACCATCAGAATCTTGACAGGTGCAAAACGATTGCTTCGTACGATTCTATCCGATTATGTAATAAGGACAATCTTAGTCCACAAAGAAACCAATTATAAAAAGAAGAGGCAACATGCACAATATTGGTCTACTGTTAACGTCTCTGCGCATGTTAAATCAAGCGTGACATGGAGCCTTTTAACATTAAGCATGAATTTACAATTTGGTTTGTTTCTACACAGCTTTTAAGAAATTTTGTACTCATCATCATTTGCATTTCCAAGGTTAAAAAATAAGCAAGCACCAGAACTCTTTGGGCTCCACAGAGAGAAAAATGAATTCCTCAAAATAAAAGGACAGACAATCACAAAAGCGAGTCACTCAACTGCAATCCTTACCACTGAACAGAAAGTGCAAAACCTCTTAGAAATAATTTGAGGAGTTCTTACGGGACACAGAGGGACACAGATCATTAAGAAGTTTTATCACATGCTTGAAGCCATTTCTAATTCAATGGACCAGTGAATTTGAAGCTCCCTCCCTCCCTCCCTCCCTCCCTCCCTCCCTCTCTCTCTCTCTCTCTCTCTCTCTCTCTCTCTCGCACACGCCCAGACAGAGCCACAGATGCGCTCCCCCACTCCAATTAGGTTAGGACATTTCGGTATGCTACTTGCGAAAGCAATAATAATTGTGCATACAGGTATTATCAGCGGAAGGCGCAATGCCATCATTTCCTTATTTCCTTATAGGAGAGCAGGATCTCCTTACACCAATGTCCAGTATGCGAGACGGGAAAGTTTTCAGCCAAAAAGAAGACAAGGCACAGAATGTGAAAATCAAGATTGGATAGGACCTGAAAATACTAAGAAATGTTGGCTAACAAAAGTCCACATGTATACAGAGTGAACTGATAATTGCTCATCGTGTGCAGTGTCCTACATTAAGTAGGTTCCTTCCTATTGAGAGCAAGTTTTAAATGAATAAAAAAAATTCAGGCGACAATGACATTACCATCATTATGAAACACGGGGAAACTAAGTGCGGAAAATGTTAAATGTCATCATGAAACGAGTTATCAAACGGACCCTAACTCACCTGACTTTAACTACTGCTTCAATCTAATTCTCCTTGTAATCCTGAGAAGATCAAATGGAAGCCCATGTTTGCCAAAATGCAAACCTTTGGTCAGTGACAATAGATCAAATCAATCTAAAGCTCAAAATGGAAGTCAAGTGATGTATTCTCCATAATATTGAAATGAATTAGTGACTCGAGAATCCGATTAAGGTCAAAATAGAGTGTACTAACCCAATCACAATCAAGTGCAGGGTTGACTACAAAATTCCTCCCTCCATGTTGTAAAAAGCATCACAGCTGGTGCAATGACATTCAACAAACCAACTTGTAAGTGGTTTCCAGCCATAAGTGAAGCTATTTTATCAACAATGTTTAAAAACCACAAAGTAGCATATAGGAAAATCCAAAAAGCCATTTCTACTAAAAAAATTTCGATAACCGTTCTCATCCTTCACGAGCAAACAGAAAGAAAACCTAGGATGACGACTTCGGTGAAAGGAATGCTTTGCAAAGGCAAGGTTCCAACATTCTTGATCATTAGCTTCTCAACAGCTATCTAATGTAACCACATTTAAATGAGCAAGCAGCAGCATGCCAGCATACAAATAACAACCATCTCTCTTTGCTGCTCCATCTCTCCCATCAATCATCAACCATTTTGTACATTTAGTCATTGCCATTGATATCATCTCCAAAGCAGCTTGCGAGCAATAAAGACACGGGCTGTACATCCATTTCAACCCCGAGGCTTTGCTAGCAACCAAAGAATGCAGCATAGCCCCTTCAGAAACCAGCATGTTCGAGATGCACCTCATTGTAATTTTAAGCAGGAGCCCATTAAACAGCTCGAGCATCGATATGAGCAGAACCCTGGTCACCAACATTTCGCTAGAGTCATATCTAAGTCTTAATATCCGTAAGGAGCGAAAATGGACCCATTTTTCATTGGGCACCAACCAATGTCCCGGATGGCTTCCAGTGTAAAGTACCCAGCAAAGAGCATTCTTACCAGCATACGAAGTCCTTGGACAAACCAAATCCACGGCCAGTTAGCAACAAGAGAACTTCACAAAAAAGTCAATGACCCCAATTACGTATCCTAAAAAAAAAACAAAAAAAAAAGGGAGGAGGAGAGAGCACCTCATCACTCTCACCTCGATCAAGTCAGAGATCTAATTCAGCGGCAAAGATCAAACATTTCGAGTCCGTACAATACACAAGCACGCGCGCACGCACACAGAGCAAGCCGTTCGCCGGAAAATCCCCCCCGAACATTCAAAAGAAAGCACAGCCCAATCTCAACCTCCATTCCGAGCACACACATAAAAAAAAAAAAAGAAGCAAAGCAGCAGCACCGCTCTTGAAACTCACGGAAAAATCTGTCAATGGCGATGATTTCACGCCTCGGCAATCAGCAGAAAAAGCAGATGCAAATCGCGCGGGGCACGAAATTTTGCCGCGAGAGAATGCAGAATCCAAAGGAAAAAACTCGATCGAAAGACCTGAAACTTGCGGGGAGAGATTCGGATGCTGACGATGAGGCGGGCGGAAGTACCTGCGGATGCGAACGGAGGACTGGCGATCGCGACGAGGGGAAGTGGGGAAGGGAAGAGCTGAAGCAGACTGGCACGCAACGAGGGAAAAATTGGTGGAAAAAAACCCTAATTCGAGGGAGTTTTCAGTTGCGATTGTTTTTCTAGACTTTGACGAAGACGAAGAAGACGAAGAAGTAGATAGAGAAGGAGCAGGGGGAAGGAGAAGATGCCTTTCGTCTCCATCTTCGAATGACACGTGGCGCACCCGGTTGATTAAATCGCCGATTATCTGGTCAGTAGTGCGATGGGGGCTTTGTCACTTTGTTAGCGAGCAAAGGGTGTTTCGGTAAATCTCGAGGGGGAGGGGGAGGGGGAGGGGGGCGGCACGTGCGAGGGCCTGAGCGCGTGGGCTCCCCCCATCCGTCTAGTCTATCCCACCTGTCCCTTTCTCGAGGGCATGCTTGGAATTTCGCATCACCCCCCCCCCCCCCCGACCCCCTCCTCGGTGGGGCCCTCCCCTTTCGATTTCCCAGCCCAATTCGCAGAACGAGACGTCCCGACACAATCTCTCCCCAAAAAGGTCCGAAGCCACGGTTGGATACGGGGTGCTTTCGAATTGATTCTGATGTAGATAACTTGGGGGCTCCAGGCTACGATGTCAACCTGTATTCACAGGGGGTGTCGACGGTTCGAGTCGGGTCGGATCTCTCCCGTGCTCGGACCGGACCGAACATGGAAGGCGGTGTGCTTCTTGTGACCCGGACCGTACAGGATCCGAACCGAAAACACGGTTCGGTTCAATTTGAGTACTGCATTTTACCTTCTTCTCTTCTTCATTTTTCCGCCCTTTTTCTTCTTCTTCACCATAACTCCCTCTGTGCAGCCATTTCCATTTCTCTCTCCTCCTTCCTTTACCTATTGAGAAAATGATATAAGTAATCCCTAAATTTTGGCTCAATGTGCAATTTGATCCCTGAACTTTAATTTATCCAATATAATTTATGAATTTTGGTTCAATACTATTTGTGTCATTTTCCATTACTCATTCTTTGTGACTATCCCCTTTTTCCCTCGCCCCCAATGGCATGTGTTTCGATTCAATGAAACTATAACGATACATATTCTTAACTTATTAGCCAAACCGAAAAGATCTGAAATTTTTATTTGGCATGGGTATTTTTGACATCCTATTATATACTGTTTATTATACAAAATTCAAAACTCGACCCCTAAAATAAGTATATGTTTCTTTTAATAATTTGGAAAAAAAGAGAACAATCTTAGTAAACTAATGGCCTGGATAATCACAGTCAAATCTATTTTTTGAGGTTGTCAATTTCTTTTATGGAATTTCTAGAATGTCATCCTCCAACATCTAAAATAAGTACAACACCACGATCTAATTTACAATCCAACATTTGGGCTAGGATTTAACGAGATATATCAAATGATCAAGATTCGAGGCATATTTAATAATTTGAAAAACATCATTTTGAGCGATCTCTAGCAAAATAATGCATTCGATAATCGTAGACAACATTTGTTTAATTTTTAGGTTGCAACCTCCGTTAAGAACCTAAGTCTATTAAAATATTATTAGAGTCTACATAAATACAAAAATAATAAAATGGTCGTATATTTAAGTTCCGTTTATTTCGCGAAAAATGAATAAATTGAAAAATATTTTCATCATTCACGAAAATGTTTAGATATAATTTGTTACCAATAACGAAAATATTTTTATTAATTAATTATTTTTAAAATAATATTTTAAAAAATCATTCAATTTTCGTTAAATAAATATAGTCATTAACGTCTAAATTCTACCGTGAGAAAGGAGAAAATATTTAGTGGGAACATACTGCCAGGTCACCTGCTGACGTGGCACGCATGTGTCCAGTCAGTTCCAGTGAAATTTTGACACATGTAAATTTGAATATTCTCAAAATAAGAAAAGGAAAATTAGTTGGTGTCAGCATAGCCTCCTAAAGCAACCCATCCATGTCAGCGCAATTAATGCTCCCCAAATTTCAGTTGAGCGCCCTTTCTCCTTCCCTCGTTGTCTCCGCTGATCAAACTCTTTCTTCTTCCTTTTTTGCTCTTCTTCTTCGTTTCCATTTTCTCTCTTGCCCTTTCTCCTTCCTTCGTTGTCTCCGCTGATCAAACTCTTTCTTCTTCCTTTTTCGCTCTTCTTCCTCGTTTCCTTTTTATCTCTTGCCCTTTTTCAAATTCTGAAGGAAGAATTTCCGTTATGGAAGTGCAAAACTCCACTTCGCACAACAAAATAGAGGTGCTTTGCGGGACTTCGCTCGGGTTCGCGCAAAATAGGGATTTGTGGCACTTTGCTCCGGATCGCCATAATCAGAGGTTCTTTTCGGCCCTACTCGTATTTTGCATTCGCAAAAGTCTCAGTTTCGTAAATGAGTTGCATTTCGCTATTGTTTGATCTTATGTAGACTTTTCCCGATCTTATAAATTGTTGTATGTAAATCATGGCACATTGCTTTGGCACCACCAATCTTAATTCCATCAATCGACTAAAACTTAGGGTAGTGGGGCGTGGATGAAGGGGTTTTAGAAGGCGAGCTTATGCAAGTGAGCTGCTCTTAACAATTATGAGGAACCCCAATGATGCCTGCCAACTGTTTGCGCAAAGGTCTACGTGTGAATTGGCTTAGCAATTGTGATTGTTTTCACAAATTGTGGTTGTTTTCACATATGATCTTGCAATTAAAGAAAGGAAAATAAAAATTAATACCCTTGAACTCAAGCTGTAGTCGCACTACTCTGTATATTTCTTTCTTTTTTTTCCGTTTGTCATAAGTGCTGCTGGTTGATTGAAAAGCTTAGATTGAGATTGAAATTTCAATATAGAAGATAACCGTGCTACAACGAGCTGCAGATAAGATTTTTCTTTTCAAAGCTTGCAAATTAGTGGTTATGGTAGATAAACTAAAAGGTTGTTGCTAGATAGTTTTTGAAAGGTTTTCGGATAATTCACGTTCAATGATTTCTTTTGCTTGGACTTCATCTATTTTTTTATTATCATGACTATAAGTTTAACTACCTATGACATCATGAAGCAGAGAGATGCGGGGGTTTAGCAATTCACCTTCATTGCGAAGTAGAAAAGGTGCGAAGGTTGAGCATGGTTGACCACGGTTAGGCATTCCAGCAAGACCACTCAAGTGCTCTCATCCTTCAGTCATAACAGGTTCTCTCTCTTATGCGGATGATTTCAGATTTTCTATGCAAATTTCTTGTAATTGGTGATGACTGATGATGGTGGTAGATTTTTCCTAACTTATATTTTAACATGTACATGGCAGATTATTCCTAATCCCTGTAGCTAGCTCAGCTTGTTCTCGGCATAAATAGGTATGACCTCATCTTTTGTTATAACTAAACTTGTTTTCGCTTTATCTTTCTTCTTTCAATGATTAGAATTTTTTACTGTAGAGGCTCCAGAGGATAATAGTATCGCGCATAAGGTCGATAAATAGTTTGAATTAAGATTTGGCATGACATTTCCTAATGAGGACGAAGCATACAATACATACAATGCATATGCAATTTGCAAGGAATTTGGAGTACGAAAAGGACAAAAAGCATACAATAGTGAAGGAATATTGCGTAGATGCACATTTCTTTGTAATTGTGAAGGACACTCTCTACAAATCCCACTTCACGAACAAGGAGATGTTTATAGAACAATTAAGAGAACCGGATGTCAAGCTTGCATTAAATTCAAAATTGAAGATGGAGTTTAGATAGTTACCGAGTTTAAGAATTCTCACAATCATCCTTTCATTGATGATAGACAAAAGCACTTGATACGGTCATATCGACACATTACAGATACTAGTAAGAGTATTTTGACTTCTATGGCCGGGGTGGATATAAGGGCTATGAAAGCATATTCCTACCTAAGTGGTGAAGCAGGAGGACCAGACAATGTTGGGTTTACTTTACGTGATTGCCAAAAAATTTTACAATCAAAGGGAAGGAACCTGATTAGTGCGGGTGATTGTCAAAGTCTCATTAACCATTTTAATTCCTTACAATCAAATGGAAACAATTTCTCTTATACATTTCAGCTGGATAATGAACAGAGACTGACCAATTTTTTTTGGTCTAATGCTGTATCCAAATTGGATTACAATAGTTTTGGAAATGTGGTGGTATTTGATATCACTTACCATACGAATAAGTACAATATGATATGTTCACCTTTTGTTAGCTTGAATCATCATTGGAAGAATGTTCTCTTTGGTTGTGCATTTCTATTGGATGAAACTATTGGTTCATTTGTTTGGGCATTTCAATCCTTTTTGAAGGTAATGGGTGATAAAACACCCAAGACTATTTTCACTGATCAAGATCATGCCATGGCAAATGCCATTAAAACTGTTTTTCCGAATACTAATCATCGTTTGTGTATATTACATATTGGGAAAAATGCTACGCATCATATTGCACATCTTCTTGGAAAGATAGATTTTCGCGATAAATATTGGCAAAAGCTTCTATATCGTCGCGAATCTGAATTTGAAATGGAAACCACTTGGAAAGCTATGTGTGAAGAATGGAGCTTGGGAGATAACAAGTGGTTGGATGGTATATATCACTTGCGGCATAAGTGGTGTCTTGCATTTGGGCATGATATTTTTTCCGCAGGAATTAGATCTACGCAAAGAAGTGAGAGCACAAATAATGTTTTTCAGGATATGGCATGTAAGACTATGACTTTGTCCGAATTTGTCAATCATTATGAAAAGCATGCGGAAAAAATGCGCAACACTGAAGCTGTTGATGATTTTGACTGTACTCGAGGAAAGCCATGTATTATGGTTGAGAATAGTGGAATTTTGAAACATGCTGCAAATGTATACACTCATATCATATATAGGAATTTCCAGGCTGAGTTATTGCATGCTTTGTGTGAACATGTTTTTGGATCAGATGTTGATTGGCCATTGCAATCTTCTATCTTGGGAACTAAAAGTAGTGAAAGGAAGCATTTTGTCCATTTTAGTCCGAGCAATTCTATCGTCACATGTAGTTGCAAGTTATTTGAAATGCAAGGATGGTTGTGTAGGCATATTTTGTGCATCTTGACTCGTGTTGTGAATGTTACAAGTATTCCATCACAATGCATTCTGAAGAGGTGGACAAAAGCTGCAAAGCAAGGGACTCCTTGTGATGAGATCGGACAAAGCTCTCATGATGCAGTTCAATCAAAGACATTGCGTTTGAAGAGGTTGATGCGGTTGGCTTGTTTAACATATAAGAATGATTGCATCTATTTTTGACAGTTTATTTATATGCACTTCTCCATTATGAAAATGGGTACAAGCAAAGAAATGCATGAAATAATTCCAGTACTGTCACTTTTTATGCAGGATTGATTTTCAATAAAAGTCTACAGTCATTAGAGATTGATCTTCCTTTGGCAAGCAAGTTCAATGTGGAAGCAATTTGTGTATCTGGTCTCCAAGGATTTGTTTTTGTTAGGAGAATTTTTGGTTGTTAACAGATTAGTAGTTGTTTTGTTTTTAGATTCTATTTACAAGAATCCCTTTTTGGCGATTAAGTTAGTGATTGTAGATATTTTGTCACTTTTTATGCAGGATTGATCTTCAGTAAAAGTCTGCGGTCATTAGAGATTGATCTTCCTTCGGCAAGCAAGTTCAATGTGGAAGCAATTTGTGTATCTGATCTCCAAGGATTTGTTTTTGTCAGGAGAATATTTGGTTGTTAACAGATTAGTAGTTGTTTTGTTTTTAGATTCTATTTACAAGAGTCCCTTTTTGGCGATTAAGTTACTGATTGTAGATATTTGGTTGCTTTTGTATCTATCCTCTATGGCATATCGAAGGGATGTATATATGCACATGATGTCAGTTTTAATTCTCTCCCTCTTGGGGGCTTTGATGGAAGAGTTGGTCCACTTCTTGTAATGACTCGTATGAAAGCTGAGGTCTCTTGGCACTATTAGTCGGGACACGATCTCTTTAGTGTTGGTTATGACTAGAATTGAACGTAAAGATGTTTGTGTAGGCTTTATATTCATTATGCCATACAGTACACTGCTTTTTGCCATACATTGTTTTATATTTGCTATTCAAAGTGCCATACATTGCTTTGGACACAATTTAGATATTCGTTTCAAGAAAGACAAAAACTTATTCTTCTCTAAATTACTTTAAAATCATATTAATAACAAGTTCTCATCTCAATGTCGATCCTGGAACCTTGGCACTCATAGGAGGGACAATCTCTTTCTCTTTGATGTCATAAAAAAATAACTAAGGGTCCGTTTGGTAACGTGCCAAACAGTGAAAATTTCTGTTCTTTTGTTCCCAGAAATAGTTTGGGAACAGAAATGTGTTTGGTAAACTTTTTGTTCCCGGGCACATTTTTTCAAAAATTTGTGCCCAGAAACAGTTTTGGAAGAGAAACAAGAAGTAAAAAAAGTTGCTTCTTGTTTCTCGGCACAATTTTGACAATGAGTTCTTTTTCTTTTTTTTCTTTTCTTCTTTGTGTTGTTCTTCCTTGGGCAGTGGCCGGCCGCCGGCGACCGGCCATAGCCCAGGGCCGATGAGGGCGTCATGGCCCTCGCCGGCGAGGGCGAGGTCTGGACCCTAGCCGCCTGGGTGAGGCGGCTCGCCGTCGATCATGGCGAGGTCGGCCTCGCCTAATCTGGGCGAGGCCGGCAGTGAGGCAGGCGGCCAGGGCGGCGGCCAAGGTCACGATGCCCTAGCCTGTGGCCGATCGCCGGCGCCGGCGACCGGCCTTGGCCAAAGAAGGGAAGGGTAGAAAGAAAAAAAATATTAAACAATTTAAAATATTATTAATAAAAAGAAATTTTAGACAGTTACCAAACGCCTTTAAATGCTCAGAAATTATTTCCAGGCACAGAATAAAAAAGAATCATTTCTAAGTAGAAATAGTTCCCGGGCACAGAATGATTGTCATGCGCACCCTAAGTTGGTTATAACTAGAATTTTAACACATAGATGTTTGGGTAAGCTTTATATTCACTATTCAGAGTGTCATACACTGGTCTGGTTTAGACACAATCTACATATTCATTTTGAGAAAGACAAAAATTCATTCTTCTCTAAATTACTTCAACAGCATATTAAAAACAAGTTCTACAGAATTATCATGAATAACTCCTATAACTACCTATATAATAACATTGAGATTACAATTCTAGTAAGTAAAGATATGATAACTCCATATAGTACTATTATTGACATAAAAAAGCCCATCCTTCTTCTAATTAACTTCAATTCTCTTTTCATGATAGCCATTTCTTCATTTTCATTTGATGCAACTCCTGACTCAGCTCCGTCAATATTTTTCGGTGAATAGAGCCGTAATTCCTCAACATAATCTTCAACCCATTGCACAAAACCACGACAGTTATCTGTCTGGAAAAAAAATCAGTGTAAGGCAAGATTAAGTATTACAACATGTCATAGCATGCAAAAATAATTTGTTAAAAATTGAAACACTTACGTTACAAGTTGAGGCATAATATAATCTGCCTCAATTTATAGGATTCTTTTGCACTTTTTTGACCGTGCATAATCTCCCTCAAGGACATGGGCATATCTTGGATGGAAAATCAACCAATGTATTCGAAGATCATGTCATACTAAAATCATAATGTCATAGGTAGTTAAACTTATAATCATGATAATAAAAAATAGATGAAGTCCAAGCAAAAGAAATCATCGAACGTGAATTATCCGGAAACCTTTCAAAAACTATCTAGCAACAACCTTTTAGTTTATCTACCATAACCACTAATTTGCAAGCTTTAAAAAGAAAAATCTTATCTGCATCTCGTTGTAGCACTGTTATCTTCTATATTGAAATTTCAATCTCAATCTAAGCTTTTCAATCAACCAACAGCACTTATGACAGACGGAAAAAGAAAGAAAGAAATATATAGAGCAGTGCGACTACAGCTTGAGTTTAAGGGTATTATTTTTTTTTCCTTTCTTCGGTTGCAAGATCATATGTGAAAATAACCACAATTTGTGAAAACAATCGCAATTGCTAAGCCAATTCACGCGTAGACCTTTGCGCAAACAGTTGGCAGGCATCATTGGGGTTCCTCATAATTGTTAAGAGCAACTCACTTGCATAAGCTCGCCTTCTAAAACCCCTTCATCCACGCCCCACTACCCTAAGTTTTAGTTGATGGATGGAATTCGGATTGGTGGTGCCAAAGCAATGTGCCATGATTTACATACAACAATTTATAAGATCGGGAAAAGTTTACATAAGATCGAACAATAGCGAAATGTAGCTCATTTACAAAACTAAGACTTTTGCGAATGCAAAATACGAGTAGGGCCGAAAAGAACCTCTGATTTTCGCGATCCGGAGCGAAGTGCTGCAAACCTCTATTTTGCGTGAACCTGAGCGAAGTCCCGCAAAGCACCTCTGTTTCGTGCAAACCAGAGCGTCCCACAATGCACCTCTGTTTTGTTGTGCGAAGTAGAGTTTTGCACTTCCGTAACAGAAATTCTTCCTTCAGAAACTGAAAAAAAGAGAAAAAGAAAAGCCTACATAAGATCGAACAATAGCGAAATGCAGCTCATTTACGAAATTAAGACTTTTGCGAATGCAAAATACAAGTAGGGCCAAAACCTCACCTTTGATTTTCGCGATCCGGAGCGAAGTGCTGCAAACCTCTATTTTGCGTGAACCTGAGCGAAGTCCCGCAAAGCATCTCTGTTTCGTGCAAACCAGAGCGTCCCACAATGCACCTCTGTTTTGTTGTGCAAAATAGAGTTTTGCACTTCCGTAACAGAAATTCTTCCTTCAGAAACTGAAAAAGGGCAAGAGAGAAAAAGGAAACGAGGAAGAAGAGCCAAAAAGGAAGAAGAAAGAGTTTGATCAGCGGAGACAACGAGGGAAGGAGAAAGGGTGCTCAATTGAAATTTCGGGAGCATTAATTGCTCTGACACGAATGGGTTGCTTTAGCAGGTTAGGCTGACACCAACTAACTTTCCTTTTCTTATTTTGAGAAGATTTAAATTTATACGTGTCAAAATTTCACAGATACTGACTGGACACATGCGTGCCACGTTACCAGCAGGTGACCTGGCACTACATTCCCACTGAATATTTTCTCGTGAGAAAGTGAAACCAGAAACCCTACCTCTCTTCTGAAGCCTCGAGCCTCCCCAATCTCTGTCTCTCGGTCTCTCTTCTCTCCTCTTCCTCGCACCGCACCGTTGCACTCCCGAGCCGCCGCCGCCGCCGCCGCCGGACTCGTATCGTTTTCCGACGCCCGCGCAACCCAGCTCTGCCGGCGATCGAAAGAGCGAGCTTGGCAATACCTCAGTTTCGCGATGGACAAGAGCATGATGGGCGACCTGGACAATCTTCCGGAGGAAGACAAGCTTCGAATGTCCGCCATGATCGACCAGCTCCAGATCCGCGACAGGTTCTCTCCCTTCCGTCTCTTTGAGTGTCATTGTGTGAATGGTGAAAGTGGCTCGGTTGGTCTTGGTTGCTCAAACTCTTAATTCGCCTTGCTTCGCCGGACGCGTAGTTGTGCCCAAAGGAATTTAGCGATGCGTGATGCCAGTGATGTAGTTCGGGTTCTAAACGATTATGTCAGGTCGTCCGTATGAGCTTAGTGTTGTTTGGCGATTGCATCTGCTAATGTGGATTGAAGGGTCTGGCGGGTCTCTTGAAAGTTTCTCTTTTTTGGCTGCCGGTTTCCTGCTCTGAGGGTCGAGGATGGAAAGTTCGCATTTTCAATTTGTTTTTCTTGAACGAGTGATGGGCGATTGACATTTCGCTGGATGAAGCTAATTAGCTTCTTTTTATGTCCTGTAACGTGGATTTCTTCATTTGCTTTTTGTCTGGTCGAGAGATCGCTCAAAGTGATTCTGTTCGGACGCATAAAAGTGATGGTTATTGATCAACATCGATGCTCTATGCATTGGGCTTCACATTTGTCCTTGTTTTACCAAAAGAGGGTTGCATCTGGAACTTTCTTTTGCAGCTCTATTTACTTGTGAAGCCATAAGAAATGTTCTCCTTTAAAACCAGTGTAGCGTGCATGCTGCTTCTGGACGTTTTGGGAACGACATGCACATTTTGTTTCCATTGCCTTGTAGTATCTGCGAGGGATAAAGTTTGTCGATGTTTGCGGGCATCATAGTTCATGTCCAAATTATTTCTTTTGTCATTGTATTAGTTTACTGTTCATTTTGACAATGAATTGGCCACATAATAGTTGTTGATAACCATGATGTTTCTTCAGAACTTTTGTTTACTTAATTCATGTCGTATTTTGTGTGAGAGTTCTGGCTTGTATCGAAGTATAAAGATATGCTATGCAATATTAGGTTGACATTATTTGCATACCCTTACCTACTTGGGTTTTTTACTCGACATAGCATGTTGGACGAGTTGGTCTTGGTTGAGCTCCCAAAAGCTGAGGGGAGGATGGACGAAGGAGTTTAGTGCCTGACAGGTTTACAGGAGTTGGGAATGGGCTGGCCCAAAACTTACAGCAGTCGTTGTAACTATCTCACATTCGTTCTGTCGAAACATTTTTCCGTCCTCTATTCTACAAACTCATAGATCTCGTTCTGGATTTTCTTTGCCTGGGCTAAGGGAGAGGATGCATCCGCCGAGTTGAGTGACTGATCCGTTCTAGGGGAAAATTACTGACACTGTATGGAAGTTTACTGGCCATATCCAGACTAATGCCAATTCAACCCATTTCATGGAAAAAATTGTGACCAATTAACCAACCAACAAAACCCAATGCTTTATTTCTGTCCTAGTTGATCCTGATTCGATATAGGCACTGTCTCGGAGAGAAACTCGGTGAAATAGACATATTTGTGAATATGCGGACTAACTACACCTGGACAGAAAGACCGTGAAAAATGAAGCAACATAATCCCATTGTAATCATTGAGTTAAGCAGCGGATTGTTACTTCTATCATTTAAGATCTATTCGACAATATGTCTCTGTTCCTTCATATGTAGATGCATTTGACAAAGTGGTGGACAGCCGCTTGATGTGAAATAAAGTCATATTACGGGTCTTGTTAACAGAGTGCCCCAAAGCACTTGTTGAGCATACGTCATATAAGGAAATGTCTTGATTTTCGATGCATTGATTACACATAACATGAGAGAATCGGTGCACCGGAAGTTACTAACTTCTTTAAATGGGTTTTGCTAAGAATTTGTGATGGCACCGTGTCTTTGTTCTGTTTGCTGCTGCTACTGACCTTATGATTGCCATCAGCTGTCGCAAAGTCCTCAGCAGTGGGGCTATCGGCTAGTAGCATGTTTGTGTGCAACTTGCCACTAAGCAAGTAATTGCAGTTCTATGTAACCCCTTTGCGTGACATGCGATTTGTCTTCGTGCGCAGAATGTTGCTAATGTTGATTAGATTGATCTTTTCTGTTTGAAATTACGATCATGAAAATTCCTTGTCCCAACTTGCAGTTTAAGAATGTACAACTCCCTGGTCGAGAGATGCTTCAATGATTGTGTGGACTCCTTCAAGCACAAGAACTTGCAAAAGCAAGAGGAGAGCTGCGTCAATCGATGTGCCGAGAAGTTCCTAAAGCATTCGATGAGGGTTGGCATGAGGTTTGCCGAGCTGAACCAAGGAGCAGCGACCCAAGATTGAAATTCTCATTTGCCTTATTTTAGAACATAAGATTGAAACGACCGCCTAACCCAGGGGGGCTTCTTCTGCATTCATGTGGAACTCGATTATCGATCTAATCATGTACTTTTAAATTCTTGGTATCTAGAACACAATGTCTTATTTGTCACTTGAGAAGAGGAAAATGCATTCTGCCAATAATTTGAGGTAAGATGACACGACTTGTTCTGTGAAATGAATTGGCTCATGTTCCCCTTTGGGCGTCATAAAGGTAGCTTGCCGGGTCCCAAGCTGTAGGCCCGGACCTGATGAAAAGAAGAAAAAGTTTGGCCTGAACCTGCAGAATTGGGTTTTGGCTTGGGCTGCTTCCCAGTGGAAAGCAGAGGGAGATGATGCCAACTCATTCTTGGCCTTTTTTAATCATGAGATCGTTCTCATCATGCTTTAAATCCGGTGCAGCCTTCCTCAAAAAGCTGTCCTCCCCAACCCCCAGGCATTAGGATACAGAAGTCCCCATTAGATAGCTTGCCTCTTTATGTGGACCAGACTCTCTGGCCCAGCACTTGGCCGCAACCATTCCAAATCTTATTCCAGATGCTACCGGCATCTGTGAATTACTCTCCATTTTACCACAGTTATAAAAAAAAAAAAAAAGAAAATTCATAAAATCTCAAAAATTCAGAAAATCCCAAAAGTGGCAAGTGAGAAAATAAAAATTCGATTTGAAAATATATCCATTTTACAAAAAAGTGGCAAATGAGGGTGCCAAGAATCATGCCAAACAGATGTTAAGTGTCACCTGTTTTTCCAATGAAGTTTTCAAATGGTTTCATCACTCGAGTGTTCTGTATCAAAGAAAAAATTTCAATTATTTGTTTTGAAACTCTTCCGTATTAAATTAAGATACTAATAGACAGGATAGCATGCTACATTTAAACTTCAAAAGGTTTAGCTTTAACCATAGTAATGGTCCCACATTATCAGTTCATCGAGAATCAAAGTGGATTTATCAATGATTCACGAAGTGCTATGGTTCTTAATAGTTATTTATTAATTTATTCACTTAAATTATTCGGTACTAATTGGCGGAATCGGGCATCTTTTACTTTATACTAGTTATAATGATAAAGGTGCACTTGGTTTTGTCCGGCCAATTCTTAAAATATACAACTGGCACACACTTCGTTTCCAAAAAAAAAGTAATACACCAAGGACTACACTTTGATCCATTGGATTTGTCGTTAAGATATCGGTATTAAATCTGAAACTCTCGACCAATAGCCAGTGACCCAAAGAAAGGAAAAACAAAAAAATCGAATAGAGTTCTTGTTTTTTATCACTTTAAGTTCTATCTATTTATTTTAGAATATATAATATATTTATGTACCTATCTGTGTATATTTAGATAATAATCTTCTTGCCATTGGTTTAGCAAACCCTTTCTCAACTTTCAAATTGCTCTTCCAGGGTAAGAGGATGAAGCAGTAACAGGCAGTGTCCAGAAGCTCCTACCCACCCCTGAGCTTATAAACATCAATCCAGGCCACCAGGATAGAACCTGCCTTGATCAGAAGCGACCAAGATATAATGTAAGCACGCACCCTCAGTCCCCTTGATTGCTTTCTTTGGAAGAAGGAAAATCATTGCACCAGTAGCTTGTAATGCTCTGCAGAACATGAGGCTAGCACTATTCTACATGGTCCATTTGCACGACACGACACGACACAATACATGAATATACAGGTTTAGTTTAACATAAACGGTCCGTGCATAACCCGTTTAATTAGTTAACATGATTAAATACGTAATAACATATATATTGCTGGTACTTAACATATTTTTCTTAATCCTTAAAATTTTATGAGATAGCACTAATGTCACAAAAACTGAACTAAACCTGAGTGCTGCAACTCCTTCAATTCACTCAACAGAACACTCTCGCCTCGCCAGTGGCAGCCAATAATTTCCTTTCTTCTTCACCTCACAGACCACAATATTCTTCACCACCCCAACTCGCCTCTGCTTGTGGCCCGCTTGGCTCTCGCCTCAATCTGCTCGTTCTCACCTAGCTCAGATCTCGCTATCCATGCTCAAATTCCACTCCCTAGATCTGGTCTCCCGGCGCCTAGATCGTGAAAATATGCATATTATCTGGATACGGGTTAGCCCGTGTGCTTTCGTGTTGACAAATGATACATAGACAAGCTAAATAATCGTGTTAATCATGTCGTGTCGTATCGTGTGAACTATTATATAAACGTCGCATGTTCTTGTTGAGACAGTTCGAGATATTTATTAATCGTGCCATGTTCCGGCTAGCCATAACCGTGTTATATCCTTGTCTCAACACACGACACATATTGCCAGTCAAAACAGCAGATACGAGCTGCAGCCTAGCTGCAAAAAGACAGATTCTTTGAAGTTCCAACCGGTGATTCTCCGCAAGATTCTATCCATCAATGCCTCACACTCCTTCTCTATCAGCTTTCCTGGAACTAAAGAAACCCCCCAAGTACTTAACCGGGAATTCTCCATGCTTCAAACCGGAGATTCTCAACATATCAGCAGCATATTCACTAGTAACGCCAGCATTAAGGATTCCTGTAAAGCCTGACGTGGCCTTAAATTCCTCGAAACAGCATCAACATTCCTCCAACACCTTCGAGGCTCGCCATCCACGAACAGCAACAAGATCGTCACCGAAGCACGGGTCTGTCAACTTCAACCCATTTCCCCGAAGGACCATGCTTTATTCCTCCTCCAACTGCAGCTCTGTCTAGCAGCAGACATGAAAAGACCTCGAACGGGCCCATGCACCTAGAATTTTAAAATGGGAAAAAAACATGGGATTCTCTTTCTAGATACATTTCCCAGAAAGAGACGGAAGGGAGGCTTCCCGGGTGGTCGTGTTCTTTTTCCAGCCTATTCGGTTTCCTCCCCACATATATATTTTTTTTTCTGGATTCCTTCCTTGAGTTAAACGCATAAAAAGCAAAAATCAGGCATCATTTTCACTGCCCTTTTGCAAGCTTCCCAAGGATGCCCTTTTCCTCATCCCCACCGATCGATCTCGTCCGCTTTTCTCTGCGGTTCGTTCCTTTACGATAATGCTTGTGGCCCCATTGCATCGATCTCGGCAATTGCCGTGATATCCAGACATGGGGCCTCCTCACGCCCCTGCTTTTGATCCCATGTCCAAAGAAAAGAGAGAAAGAAAAGGGAGATGAAGATATAAAGTTCGGATTGCACGGACTTGGAAATGAATAGGAAGCCTGCCTGATGGCTACGTTCATAAAGTGAGAAGGAAAAAAAAGAAGGGCAAAGCTCAAAAACAATGACCCAAAAAGAAAGAAAAAGAGAAGCTTGAATATGGAAAAGGAAGATCCAAACATGATCGTGGAGGACCAACCTCAAAGTGAGTCAAGCCCTCTAGCGATGTGTCTTCCATCAAAGTAGAAATATAGAAAAAGAAGAAGATGATTCTTCCAAGTGAGCACAAATTTTTTACCAAAAAAAAAAAATCTTATTTATGCACCCTAACTTAATATTATTCATGAAAACAAAGATATCTATTATTGCGTATGTTTAAATGCGAAAAGAAAGGATGGCGCTCGGTGTAAATACCACGAAAATAATGGGGGGTTAGTACGGCAAAATCCAATTGAGCTACCTTGTATATACAGAGAGAAAGATGTGAGCAAGGTGCCTCAAATAGTGAAAAATGGAATTTTTTTTTTTTTTTTTTTTTCGTTTTTTCAATTGAAACGAGAAGAAAAAATGACACAAATAATCTCTGAACTTTGTCTCAATATACAATATGATCCCTAAACTTTAACCGAATGCACAATGTGGACCCTCAACTTTTAATTTATTCAATATGGTCCTTGAATTTTTTGTACATGTTCAATTTAGCCAAAATTTCAGGGAGCACGTTGAACAAATTGAAAGTTTAGGGACAACATTGCATATTTGGTTAAAGTTTAAGGACCACATTGAACAAATTAAAACTCAAGGGATCACATTGCATAATAGAGCAAAGTTCAGGACCGTTTATGTAATTATTCCAAACAAAAAAAAGAAGAGGAAAAAAGAGAGGGAAATTGCGAGGCCGATGTTGAAAAGAAGACTAACCAAAAATAGGCACACTCGACATTAAGTGTTGGGAAGTGGGAGTGGCATCAATGTCTCCAATTTTAAAAGGCATTTTATGGACAAGAGCTGCTTTTTTTCCTTTGCACGATATTTCTGTTTCTTGACTTTATTATTTTTGGGCAAAAATTGTTGTCCACGAGTCTCCGCTTATAAATCAGTTGTTTGTGTTCATATCATTTTGCTAATTCGATTGTAATAACCAAAAATTTCAAAACAAGAAAAAAGAATGTCACTTGGGCGCTTATGCATCGAGTGTGTTTGTAAAGGGGTAAGAATTTGCAATCAAATTGTGTTCCAAATTCACTCCTTAACACGGTTACATTTCTTAACGGATATGGCCACAGGAGTGGTCGGTTTTCAGGGTGAGTATGCTCAGGACCAATAACTCGGAACCTATATTGTTAGAATCAATTCTCGATTTTTGAAAGGCGGTGGGTTCTAGGGGCAACCTGACTTTAAGTAATATAACTATTAATATGAGAAAACATATCGCGTGAGCAATCTTTGACATAGTGGTTCAAGGCTAAAAACCCCGAAAAACCGATTCTTTAATAGAATTGACGATATACAGTATAAAACAGGTAATTGAATCGTTTCTCCAACTTTTTACTCGGGGACCAATTGGGTCCTCGTGTGATCGGCCTGGAACTGGTTAAGTAAAGCCGGTTCGATTCCCAAATTGAACCGATCTACCTGTTTACCCTTAACTCCAACATCCAAGAGCCACCCTCATAAATACATGGTAGCCATACCTTTCTTATCGATAATGCTAATCTCCTCCTTTCTCCTCTCTAATAATACTAATTTTGTGGATGTCGTAGAAAAATAACAAAGATAAGCCACTGCTGAACCATACGCACCAATATATATATATATATATAACAATATCATTATCCCCCATTTATAAAAAAAAAAAAAAATTGAAGGACCAATAAAAATTCCCCTTTGACCTTTTTCAATGTAAAGCCAATTTTGTTGCCGACCAGAATTAAAACAGATCACGGCATTAATTTAGGTTGTTGGTGGTCTTGACCAAACTAGAGTTTAGAAT